GCAGCACAAACATTTTGGAATAACCTTGTTTCCTACCTTAAAATTATGTATCTTCCTTCAATAAATGTATATTTTTTGAAGCAGAACATTAGCTCTGGATACAACCACATTTGTCCATGTGATTCGTAAGTATGCTTGTTAACAATGGGCAGTGACAACCGACACAGCAGTCTTATGAGTCTGTATTTCCTTAGGCACGAGACACGCGGGGTCTTCAAGGATTCCCTTCACTCTAAGCGTCCCAAACTCTCACTTCCCCCACCTCTTCTATATCCCCGCAAGCCCACTTTCCCAATCAGCTTCCCACTTTTCCAACGAATCTCCAACTCAGTGTCAATCATCCCTCCCTTTCACCCGCTCTTCCTATTTTGTATTTCTACCGCCCAACCCAGGGCCAAATTAAGGTTAGTCTAGGCCTTAAGCACTCCTGTTTCGTTTAGAATCTTCAGTGATAACTCACCACAGCTGTTAGAACTGCCCCATGTCACTGCTACCGCCACTGTCACTCCGCTTATTTCACGAGTTACTTTGCATTGTTAAGGGGAGCGTTGTTTTTTGGAGCTAAAGTGAAATAAAAAAAACTGTCTCGAATAAAGCATTGGACAACAACGTTTATCGTCCCTTGCATTGCTCTCTATTAAGAATGAGATTGTGTGAAAAATACCATTTGAAGATGTTATTTGCTGATTTTTCAATGAAAAAATGACGATAAGTTATTCTCTGGTGTTAATTTCTCTCACTTTATTAAATAAAACAAACTAATAATATTGACATGACTCTGCTTACTTTGTATAACCACTGTTGCCTATCATTGCTCTTTAAATATATGTATTCAAGAAGATATCCTGGTTACATTTTTTATCATACATACAAATAAAGAAAAACATGGTCAAACATTTTTTTGTGTAGGCCCTAGGCACATTGCCTACTGTTGCCAAATGGATAATACGACCCTGGTGGGTGGGTGAATGAGTGATATGGTGGCTGGGTGAGTGGGTGGGTGGCTGGGTGAGTGGGTGGCTGGGTGAGTGGGTGGGTGGCTGGGTGAGTGGGTGGGCGAGTGAGTGGGTGGGTGAGTGAGTGAGTGGGTGGGTGAGTGAGTGAGTGAGTGGGTGAGTGAGTGAGTGAGTGGGTGAGTGAGTGAGTGAGTGGGTGGGTGAGTGAGTGGGTGAGTGGGTGAGTGGGTGAGTGGGTGAGTGAGTTGGCGAGTGAGTGAGTTAGTTGTTGAGTGAGTGAATTGGTGAGTGAGTGAGTGGGTGGGTGAGTGAGTGAGTGGGTGGGTGGATGGGTGGGTGGGTGAGTGAGTGGGTGAGTGAGTGGGTGAGTGAATGAGTGGGTGGGTGAGTGGGTGGGTGGATGGGTGGGTGAGTGAGTGGGTGGGTGGGTGAGTGAGTTGGCGAGTGAGTGAGTTAGTTGTTGAGTGAGTTAATTGGTGAGTGAGTGAATTGGTGAGTGAGTGGATGGCTGGGTGGGTGAGTGAATAGACCATAGGCACAGTGCCTACTACTGTGGCCTAATGGATATACGGCCCTGCTCCAATCGGCCCTGCTCTAAATGTCCTGCCTCTAAGCAATCCCCCTGTTTGTGTCATCACGCACGCCGTGTCCAATCGCAATCGAGCATATTCGGTTGTGCGTGAATCGCTGCTAATGTATCGAAAGTAAAATTCCTAACGCACACTCATTTTGAGGGATTGTGTGCTGTCCCGGTGTTTTCTTGGATAGTTTTTTCTTTTGCTCTCTACTGCCTTTCCTAAGCTTGGGGAATTGATGTAACAATGCTATTTTAACTTCTACTACTTAATGTATTTCAAGAGTGGTTGTGATGTCCTTTCCCACGCCTGGATTGCAGGAGGTCGTTGGGTCGATCGCGACCCTGACGCCTGCTGTGTACAGGGACTCCTCTACTTACGAACGAGTTAGGTGCCAGACGTCTGTTCGTAAATCAATTTGTTCGTAAGTCCAAATTTACTAACGTCGATTTCGAAAGTGTTGTACGGCATGTACGCTAAACACTGGTTCTTAATGTTCGGAAGATATTGATGCCACTGGTTCTTCACGTTCTGCAGATGTAGATGCCATTGGTTCTTCATGGTCTGCTGATGTACAGTAGATGCCACCGGTTTTTCACGTTCTGCAGATGCCATTGGTTCTTCACATTCTGCAGATGTAGATACCACTGGTTCTTAATGTTCTGCAGATGTAGATGCTACTGGTTCTTCACGTTCGGCAGATGTCGATGCCACTAGTACTTCACGTTCTGCAGATGTACAGTAGATGCCACTGATTCTTCACGTTTGTCAGATGTAGATGCCACTGGTTCTTCACGTTCTGCAGATGTTGATGCCACTGGTTCTTCACGTTCTGCAGATGTAGATGACATTGGTTCTTAATGTGCGGCAGATGTAGATGCCACCGGTTCTTCATGTTCTGCAGATGTAAATGCAATTGGTTCTTCACATTTTGCAGATATAGATGCCACTGGTTCTTCACGTTTTCCAGATGTCGATGCCACTGGTTCTTCACGTTCTGCAGATGTAGATGCCACTGGTTCTTCACGTTCTGCAGATCTAGATGCCACTGGTTCTTCACGTTCTGCAGATGTTGATGCCACCGGTTCTTCATGTTCTGCAGATGCAAATGCCATTGGTTCTTCACATTCTGCAGATGTAGATGCCACTGGTTCTTCACGTTCTCCAGATGTTGATGCCACTGGTTCTTTACGTTCTGCAGATGTAAATGCCATTGGTTCTTCACATTCTGCAGATGTAGATGCCACTGGTTCTTCACGTTCTGCAGATGTTGATGCCACTGGTTCTTCACGTTCTGCAGATGTAGATGACATTGGTTCTTAATGTGGGGCAGATGACGATGCCACCGGTTCTTCGTGTTCTGCAGATGTAAATGCCATTGGTTCTTCACATTTTGCAGATATAGATGCCACTGGTTCTTCACGTTTTCCAGATGTCGATGCCACTGGTTCTTCACGTTCTACAGATGTAGATGCCACTGGTTCTTCACGTTCTGCAAATGTAGATGCCACTGGTTCTTCACGTTCTGCAGATGTTGATGCCACCGGTTCTTCATGTTCTGCAGATGCAAATGCCATTGGTTCTTCACATTCTGCAGATGTAGATGCCACTGGTTCTTCACGTTCTGCAGATGTAGATGCCACTGGTTTTTCACGTTCTGCAGATGTACCGTAGATGCCACTGGTTCTTCACATTCTGCAGATGTAAATGCCACTGGTTCTTCAAGTTCTGTAGATGTAGATGCCACCACCGCCAACTGTTGTGGTGCGGTTGAACTTACGACTCTTGGTCAGAACAGGCAACGGGACATTACGGACAGGTTTCTTCATATCTCTGAAAGTGATCTGATAGTCGAATGTTCGTAAGTAAAGAACTACCTGTATTTTTGAAGTTTGCACGTCGTTCTCTCTTTCCCAGCGTGATGGTCCCATGGTGCAATATTTTTCTTACGGGTCCTTTTTCTCTCCTCCACGTTTCGGATCGACATCGCCACACGTCCTGAATATTTCGATGATTCTGATTGTACGAATGTCCACGTGGTGATGACGACGACGATGACGACTATGACAACAAGCAACCACGTCGTTGAGTTGTCATTATTTTCGATAGCCAACGGGGGGGGGGGTCGCTTCTGAAAAAGGAAGAAACACCAGCAACTTAGTGGGGCTTTACACCAACTTTTATTTGCCTTTACTTTTTTAAAAGTGATTTCATGTTTTACTCAGCCCGGTACTTTGCACCGCCTATCGCGTTGTGGTCACGTTCTGATCCCAACCCCCCCGCCCCCCGCCCGTGCCCCGACTGGGACATCTATGGGAAGAAAAAACTAATTTGCTTCGTAGCTTTTCTGATTCCTCCTGCTGCAGTATAAATACAAGATTATCATTCGGATCAGTCTCGGAATTAATGAAGCCTTTCCTCCAGAGCCCCTCCCCCAGAGCCCCCCCCACATCCCCCAGAGCACCCCCTCCACACCACTGACAGCCCCTCCCCCGACAGCCCCTCCCCCGACAGGCCCTCCCCCGACAGCCCCTCCCCCGACAGCCCCTCCCCCGACAGCCCCTTCCCCGACAGCCCCTCTATCCGAAAGAGATTGCTTATCTCTCCACTCCCTCCCTCTCACCCTCTGTCCTATCGCTCTCTCTTTTTTTTTACGATCAGAGGAAACAAGAAGATGCTCGGTGTAGTCGGCACTTTGCTTCGTTCATCATTTAGGGTTTTCTGTTTTTTTTCAATGCTTTGCTTTTTATTTCACTCTCACGCTCTATATCCCTCGATGTCTTTTTTATTTTTTTTTATTTTTCCCCATCTCTCTCCCATCGCTCTCTCCCCCCTCTCTCTCCTGTCGTCTCACTCTCTCTCACTCTCCCTTTTACTCTCTCTCCTCCTCCTCCTCTCCCTCTCTCTCTCTCCCCCCTCTCTCTCCTGTCGTCCCGCTCTCACTCCTCCTCTCGCCTCCTCCTCCTCTCTCTCCCGTCGTCTCACTCGCTGTCCCGTCTCAAGCCTGGAAACATTATAATCAGCAGCATCACTAACATCACCATCAGCAGCAGCAGTATCACTAACATCAGCATCAGCAGTAGTATCATCACCAACATTATCAGCAGCAGCATCATCACCAACATTATCAGTAACATCAAGATTATCAGCAAACATCATCAGCAGCAGTATCAATGCCATCATCACCAACATTATCATCATCACCAGTAGCAGCATCAGCAACATCATCATCAGCAGCAATAGCATAACCAGCAGCATCAACAACAACATCATAACCAACAGCATTAAATACATGAACTTAATCACACCACCATCAGCAACACTAACATCACCATCAGCAGCAGCATCATCATCAGCAACATTATCAGCAGAAGCATCATCACCAACATCAGCAACATCAAGATCATCAGCAAACATCGTCATCAGCAGCAGTATCAATACCATCATCCCTAACATAATCAGCAACATCATCAGCAGCAACATCACTAACATCATCAACATTACCATCAATAACATCATCATCAGCAGCAAATATCAACATCATCATCAGCAGCAGCAATATTTTCATCAGCACCACCACGACTGTGATGATTAATAGCATATTCATTAGCGGCATCATTGCTAACATCCCATTCACATCATCATCATCACCATCACCACCACCATCATCATCACCATCACCACCATCATCATCACCATCATCATCACCACCATCATCATCATCACCGTCATAGTCACGACCACCGTCACCACCACCACCGTCATAGCCACGACCACCGTCACCACCACCATCATCATCACCACCACCGTCATAGCCACGACCACCATCATCATCACCACGTTGATCTCTGGACTTCTCAAGCTGGACTCCACCATCAGAACGAAGTGAGGAGAACACCTGGCAATGATGATTTTGGTGGTGATGATGGCGGTGATGATGATGCTGATGGTGGTCGTAGTGGCGGTAATGGTGGTGGTGATGGTAGTGGTGATGGTAGTGGTGGTGATGGTGGTGATGATGGTAGTGGTGATGGTAGTGGTGGTGATGGTGATGGTAGTGGTGGTGATGGTAGTGGTGGTGATGGTGGTGGTGGTGACGGTGGTAATGATGTTGGTCATGGTGGTGATGAGGATCATGGTGGTGGTGATGATTATGATGGTGGTTATGGTGATGATGGTGGTGGTGATGATGATAGTGAAGAATATGATGATGGTTGTGGTGATGGTTTTGTTGGAGGTGATGATAACGATGAAGAACCATTGTGTTCGTCAGGGCGGCGAGATGTTGACCACCTCGCCTGGTATACAGGAGGTCGTGGGTTCCATCCCGAACCTGAAGCCTGCTGCACATTTGGTGTTTGCGTGTCTCTCTCCCCGTGGTTCCGTGCAATCTTTCACCGGCTCCGCCGGATTGTCTCCATCCACATTAGGGTCACGCATTTAGAGTTATTTGCCTGTTATTATGCATGTCCACGTGATGATGGTGATGGTGATGTCGACCAACGTGGAGATGGAAGCTGTGGAGACTTTAGCTCACCCTAACAATCAGAGGGAGCCAATTTTCAAGTGCCCACCAGGGCACCTTGCATTGTGTGGAGTTTGAGAGTGGGTGAGTGCGAGAGGGTGAGTGCGAGAGGGTGAGCGCGAGAGGGTGAACGAGAGTGTGAGTGGGTTAGTTTGAGAGGGTGAGTGAGAGTGGTTGAGTGTGAGTGGGTTAGTTTGAGAGGGTGAGTGAGAGTGGTTGAGTGAGAGTGGGTGGAGTCTAGGGAGAGTGATTTGGTTTAAAGCTTTCGTGACTGCAGGAATCCATACCCTTGGGTTGTTTCAGTAAAGTCATGTAGATTGAAATAAAATAAAATAAATCACGACGTTTCGAGCCCAACACAAGAGCCCGTCTTCAGGTGAAAATCGCGACAGCTGCGATGTTGAGTCTATGGGTAGTGTTGAGTCTTTGGACAGTGTTGAGTCTATGGGCAGTGTTGAGTCTATGAGCAGTGTTGAGTCTATGGGCAGTGTTGAGTCTATGGGCAGTGTTGACTCTATGGGCAGTGTTCAGTCTATGGGTAGCGTTGAGCCTATGGGCAGTGTTGAGTCTATGGGCAGTGTTGAGTCTATGGGCAGTGTTGAGTCTATGGGCAGTTTTGAGTCTATGGGTAGTGCTGAGTCTATGGGTAGTGTTGAGTCTATGGGCAGTGTTGAGTCTATGGGCAGTGATCAGTCTATGGGTAGATGGAGTCTATGGGTAGTGTTGAGTCTGTGGGTAGTGTTGAGTCTACGGGTAGTGCTAAGTATATGGGTAGTGTTGAGTCTATGGGTAGTGTTGAGTCTATGGGCAATGTTGAGTCTATGGGCAATGTTGAGTCTATGGGTAGTGTTGATTATATGGGCTTTGTTGAGTCTATGGGTAGTGCTGAGTCATGGGCAGTGTTGAGTCTATGGGTAGTATTGAGTCTATGGGCAGTGATCAGTCTATGGGTAGATTGAGCCTATGGGTAGTGTTGAGTCTATGGGTAGTGTTGAGTCTACGGGTAGTGCTAAGTATATGGGTAGTGTTGAGTCTATGGGTAGTGTTGAGTCTATGGACAATGTTGAGTCTATGGGTAGGGTTGATTATATGGGCATTGTTAAGTCTATGGGTAGTGTTGAGTCTATGGGTAGTGTTGAGTCTATGGGCAATGTTGAGTCTATGGGTAGTGTTGATTATATGGGCATTGTTGAGTCTATGGGCAGTGTTGAGTCTATGGATAGTGCTGAGTATATGGGTAGTGTTGAGTCTATGGGTAGTGTTAAGTCTATGGGTAGTGTTGAGTCTATGGGTAGTGTTGAGTCTATGGGCAATGTTGAGTCTATGGGTAGTGTTGATTATATGGGCATTGTTGAGTCTATGGGCAGTGTTGAGTCTATGGATAGTGCTGAGTATATGGGTAGTGTTGAGTCTATGGGTAGTGTTGAGTCTATTGGTAGTGTTGAGTCTATGGGCAGTGTTGAGTCTATGGATAGTGCTGAGTATATGGGTAGTGTTGAGTCTATGGGTAGTGCTGAGTCATGGGCAGTGTTGAGTCTATGGGTAGTATTGAGTCTATGGGCAGTGATCAGTCTATGGGTAGATTGAGTCTATGGGTAGTGTTAAGTCTATGTGTAGTGTTGAGTCTATGGGCAATGTTGAGTCTATGGGTAGCGTTGATTATATGGGACATTGTTAAGTCTATGGGTAGTGTTGAGTCTATGGGTAGTGTTGAGTCTATGGGCAATGTTGAGTCTATGGGCAATGTTGAGTCTATGGGTAGTGTTGATTATATGGGCATTGTTGAGTCTACGGGCAGTGTTGAGTCTATGGGTAGTGCTGAGTATATGGGTAGTGTTGAGTCTATGGGTGGTATTGAGTCTATGGGCAGTAGTAATAGGTTTTACCCTTTTAACTGGCACAAAAACTGACACCTTTATTCAAGGCATCATGTTTGCAATAACCACAACACAAGCAGTCAAAATGCAAACAAAAGAGACAACTCTGATAATATGCACTGTCCTTGAATTTGATTGGTCCACACCCGAGACGGCTTTTCTTAGAGCCTAGTCTCCACTGGTGTTGGACCAGAAGACGCCAAAAGGCGTACCAGTTAAAACGGTAAAACCCATTACTATATCTTGTTACTGGCAAAGGAGGACTCATAATGTAAATGCTCACCCCGAGCCCTCAATACTCTGATAGTGCACTGTTTTTGAGTTGTACACCTTTTGGCGTATTCTGGTCCAACACCAGTGGAGACTATGCTCTAAGAAAAGCCGTCTCGGGTTTGGACCAATCAAATTCAAGGACAGTGCATATTATTATCAGAGTTGTCTCTTTTGTTTACATTTTGACTGCTTGCGTTGTGGTTATTGTAAACATGATGCCTTGAATAAAGGTGTCAGTTTTTGTGCCAGTTAAAAGGGTAAAACCTATTACTATATCTTGTTACTGGCAAAGGAGGTCTATGGGCAGTGTTGAGTCTATGGGTAGTGTTGAGTCTATGGGCAGTGTTGAGTCTATTGGGTAGTGTTGAGTCTCTGGGTCGTATTGAGTCTATGGGTAGTGTTGAGTCTCTGGGTACTGTTGATTATATGGGCAGTGTTGAGTCTATATGCAGTGTTAAGTCTATCGGTTGTCCTGAGTCGAAGGCCAGCGTTGAGTCGATGGGCAGTTTCAAGATGATATGGTTACTATAAATTCGCACTTATCATATGGATATAATAATAATGATGCTCATGTTGCCTTGATGCTGTTGATAATCATAAGGTGGATTCTATACTCTCTATTGTAATGTCACCAATTATGACGACATTGGTTTGAAGTGAGGATGCTCATTCTTAATTTGATCTTAATGCTACTGCTGATTCTTCTGATGATGCTGATTCTTAATGTGATGTTAATGCTATTGCTTATTCTTCTTAGGATGTTGATGATCATGATTCTGATTCTAATAATACTCACTCATACCCGTGCTATTCGTGACTCCGAACACTCCCAGTGCTCATTAAGTCCCCAACGCCTCTTACACACCTCCCTCCCTCCCTCCCTCCCTCCCTCCCTCCCTCCCTCCCTCCCTCCCTCCCCCCTCCCTCCCCCCTCCCTCCCCCCCTCCTTTCTCTTGGGTCCCCATCTGCACCAACCCGCAGGCCCAATGACCTCCGCTTCCCGCGGGGTCCTCGTCATTAGAGGAGAAGGTGGTGGAGGTGGTGGAAGTGGTGGAGGAGGAGGAGGGGGAGGCGGAGGTGGAGGAGGTGGCGGTAGAGGGGTTGCCTGGGGCAGAATCGACGAGCGGAGTGGCCGAGGGAGCGTGGGAAGCAACGAATTTGGTGGTGGCGGTAGTGGCAGTGGTGGCGGTGGTGGCAGTTACCACCACCACGACCACCACGCCGTCACGGGAGTGGTGGCAGCGAGCGGTGGCCCATGGCGAAGCAGTCTCGCCTGCTCTGCATCGCTCGTCGCCTTCGCCCTCATGCTGCTGGCCATCAACACGGACCACTGGGTCTACAAACGGGGCGTGTGCGGGCCACGGGACTCCTCTGCCTCCTCCACCTCATCATCATCCTCCTCCTCCGCCACATCATCCTCGAGTCCAGCTCCCAACCTCCTCAACGCCACCTCCAGCACCACCGCCACCATCGCCGTCACCACCGCCGCCACCAACGACCTCAATAATCCGAGGAGGGGCCGCCCAAAGCCAGAGTCGAACTCGAATCTCAGCGGAAGCGCAGGCCCAACGCCGCTGGAGGCGATGGCCCCCAGGCGTGACCGGGGCACCACTGCAGATCGTCAGCGAGGCAGCCTGAAGGGCTTCGGACCGAGCATCGAACCGGAACCCAGCGTGGAGCCGATAGGAGGTGGTGGAGGTGGTGGAGGTGGTCGTGAATTGACCGACATCGTCACTTCGTCTGGCCGAGGAGGAGGAGGCGTCGTGACCGGAGTGATCACAGGAGGAAGAGGAGGTGGTGGTGGTGGTGGTGGTGGAGGAGGTGGTGGTGGTGAAGTGACGAAGAAAGTAGGAGGAGCGGTCACAGGGAGAGGTGGTGGTGGGGGTGGTGGTGGTGGTGGGGGTGGTGGAGAGGTGATGAAAAAGGGTGAGAGGAACGAGGTCACGGGAGGAGGAGGTGGAGCAGGAGGAGGAGGCAGAGGAGGAGGAGGTGGAGGAAGAAAAGAGGCGGTCATGGTGAAGGTCCCATCGGGGGTCGTAGCAAATAGCCAGGGCAAGAGGGAGGAGGTGCTCATGAATTCGGGGTTGTGGAGGAGCTGCTGCCTTGAGGGTGAGTTGGTTGAGTGGAATCCTCATCACCAAAACTCACCACCGAACTCACCACCAAACTCACCACCGAACTCGCCACCGAACTCACCACTGAACTCACCACCAAACCCACCATCAAACTCACCACCAAACTCGCCAACACCCACTCACCGAGGAGTCCCGTGTCAGGCTTTCGCTGATCACCATTCGTTATCCTCACCAACTCCTCACCATGAATGCGAGCTGGTGAATTTGAGTGTGGGTGAGTGTGGCTGAGTGTGAGTGGGTGCGTATTAGTTGGTGAGTGTGCGTGGGTGAGTGGGTGAATGTGAGTGAGAGTTTGGGTGAGTGTGCGTGGGTTAGTGAGTGAGTGTGAGTGAGAGTGTTTTGCGAGAGTGTGTGAGAGGGTGATTAAGAGCGTGAGTGTATGTGATAGTGTGTATGAGAGTGGGAGAGTGTGTGTCAGAGTGTGAGTGGGTGATTGTGAGTGAGTGTGCGTGAGAGTGTCTGTTTGTATGCGAGTGAGAGATGAGATGACTGGCCGATGTACCAACTGTGCCCCCTACTGTGACGACTTGCTGTGTTTTAGCCATCCGGCTTTCCTCTCATTGTTGTGAGCACCGCTCATCTGCCCTCCGTTGTTGCTACAGGGCGACTGACTCCTGCCCAGTAGCGTCCTACGCGAACCTGCTCCACAGAGGCCGTTCTTGACACCGCTGGTACCAGTCATCAGAAAATCCACTCAGCTCCACGTCATCTTGTATCACATCACTCCATCTCTTCTCTAGCCCGTGCTGCCCCGGTTTAGCCCCTTCTATCCGGCCGAACAAAAGCTGTTGAGGTATCCGGTGGCTGGGCATGCAGACTATATGGCCCAGCTAACGCAGCCTTGACGGCCGGAGGAGCTCACCGATGGGACTTTGTCCAGATCTTTCAAGGATTTGTGAGCTCCTCACAGAATCCAGACTAGTTAAACTCATGATGGATCGTAGGCAGGTCCACGTTTCGCAAGCATAGAGAAGGGAGAGCATGACTGTGGCAAAGAAGACTCGAAGCTTCGTGTGGATTGACAGACCAGGTAGCTTCCACACAGCTTCATGCAGCTGATGAAAATATAATCCTGCCCGACTGATCCGCAGTGAGACCTTTGCTGTCAAACCGGAGCCGGTCATGAGCACCCTTCCCAGCTATGGTAAACTCTCCACAACTGTCTCGTCACCAATTGTGAGTTGTGGGAGTGGAGTGTCTGATGGTACAACATACCTAGGCAAGTGCTTAGTTTTGGTGGGGCTGATGGTAAGGCCCCATCTCTTAGTGGCACGCTACAGGTTCAGCAGCAGCGCATCCAACTCCTCAGATAATCCGTATACGCAACAATGTTGACCAATAGGGAGCCATTCCTTGACTGCACCCGGACATCAATTCACCTCCCATTGTATCTGTGCCAGATTGAAATTATTTCGGTACAGCCATCGCAAGCTTCACCAACTACCTGGTCAAAATCGATATTAAATCATGTTGGAGTCAAAAGACATCCCTGTCGCATCCCAAGGTGAATGAAGAATTGCTCTGACTCCTGGCCACGTACTTTTACCCGGGCCTGCTCACCATCATGAAGGTCCTTAATGATTGTGAACAGTGAGGGACTCTGAAAGCACGAAGAACAACCCAGAGCCCAGACCTTCTGATGGTATCATAGGCCTTCACAAGGTCAATAAAGCAGAGACGTAGTTCCTGTGGGAATTCCCTACACGTCTGCTGTAGCAGACGGACAAAAAACATGACATCTGTGCAGGTCCGCCCTTTCCTGAAACCACATTGAGGCGCCGCAAGCCTCTCATCAGCGAGCCTGGCAAGGCGATGTTGAATAATCCTTGCCAGGATCTGTCCCGGCACAATGAGAAGGGAAATGCCCCTGGAGTTGTTACAGTCTGTGCGGTCCCCCTTTTAAAAAAAGAGGCACCAACAAGGCATCCTTCCAATTATGCAGAACCTGTCCAGTGGTCCAGACTGTTATTATGATGTCATGTAGGGCATTCTGTGAAACAAACGCCACCATCCCTCAGCATTTCGCCTGGGAGATCGTCTCTGCCCGGTGCCTTCTGTACTTCCTCAACAGATGGCACTTCAGCCAGCCACTCACAGGGGATGACTACTTCTTCCAATATTTGAGGCATCGGTCAGTCATCTCAGTCATTCGACCCATGGCACCTGGGTCTGTCCCTTGACCTCCTGCCAGCGGGCGTTCGACACTTCACGTGGCCTCAACGTGCAAATAGCCTGGCACAAGCGCCGTGGTGACGTCACCGCCACTTAGTGGCTAAGGGCAGTTGTTGCTGTGAGTGAGAGTGAGGGTTAGTGAGTTGTGTGTCGATGTGCGTTGGTTATCCCCACTAACCTCACCAAACTCACCACCACCGCATCGCTGCACGTTCACCTCTAGCAATTGCCTCACTTGTACACCTCTGTTTTCTTACCTCCAGCGATTAGCTCACTCACCACTACATCTCTGTACGTTCACCTCCAGCAAATAACTCACCACAGCATTTCCATCTTCCTGCTTTCAAAGTGGATTATTTGTGTCGTCCAGTAAATAAATAATAATTATAATATTTATCTGACAGACTAATCTCTAATGCTACTTTCGGCGTTTCCCCCCCTCCTGCATTCCATGCCACGGATGGAGAGAATCTAGGCCAGAAATCTTCCACGTCGCCATTAAAATGAAATGACAAAAAAATATTTCACGAAAAAAACGTCAGCTCTCCCTTCCCCATTCCGATGACGTACCTACGTACGTCATCCTTTTTCTGCCAATCCTGTTCAGATGACTACACGTTCCGATGACGTACACCTACATACCCACATGTCGGTACACATACATCATCCGTTTTTTTGTTCCCATTCCGTTTCGATGACATACATATACCATGTGTAACCGTGTGTGTTGTGGGGTTCAATTCTCCATCACGCAACAGCCGGTTTAGTGTGCTAAACCTAGTTGAGCGAACTGGTGCATGTTGTGTTTAGAGTGATGCCTGTCGGGTGGTGGTGGTGGCAGCGGTGTTTGACAACACATGACGTTTATACCTACGAGCGATCAAACCCTTTCAGATGGCCTAAGCGTGCACGCACACCATCGGAAATGGAACCGGAAGAGAGCGAGAGAGAAAAAAAACCTGCAAAATAAAATAAAGCGTATAACTTTAGCGCGTTCACCGAGGCTGTCACAAATGTGCACGTGCGTGCTTCTGTGTGTCTGTGTGTGTCTGTGTGTGTAGCAGTTGGCGCGCTGCGCTATGAACCTGGTGACCCGGGTTCGATTCCCGCTCACGTCCAACACCAGTGACGATTATCTGAACAGGTCCTGGGCCTCCCTTAGGTCGACTCAGCCTCAAATGATTACCTGGTGCGGTGTGTAAACATTACCACTGGGGATACTAAGGCGGTCGGGCGTGATGCTGGCCACCCACCCCCTCGTGTACCGTTGCTGCCTTCATAGGTGCTCGCTAACAGCACTTGCCCCTACAGTCTGTTCAGGCTATATGGGGGATCTTTGTCTGTGTATGTGGGTCTGCGTGTGTGTCTGTGTGTGTGTCTATGGCCTGGCACAAGCGTCGTGGTGACGTCACCGCCACTTAGTGACGAATGGCGGTTGTTGTTGTGTCTATGTGTGTGTATGTGTGCGAGTGTGTGTGTTTCCATGTTTGTGTGTCTGCGTGTGTTTGTGTCTTTGAGTCTGTGTGTGTGCGTCTGTGTGTGTGTCTGTGTCCGGCAAAAACAACCCGCTGCCTCCTCGTTGGTGCCGGATGGCAACGCTGTGGTGGACAGTGCCGTGGGGGAAGGGCCAATGTAGATTGGCCCTTCCCTTCATGGCGTTTGTAACCACCACAGCGGCCAAATGAGGGCTCTGGACAGGTACAAGGGGCTGGTAACCCCTCCACCTTCAATTAACTACCACTAGTCTACGAGTTAAAAAATGCATTAAGCTTGTGCCGGAGGCCCCGGGGGGACAGGCGTCTATGACGTCTCCTGGCCAAAACCCATTTGTCGGAGCCAGGAGACTGAATCTTTACCCTCGGGGCTCCCCCAAAAATAACAAAAAACCACTACGTGTGGCTACGTGGAATGGTCGAACGCTCACTGCGGAGAAGAGGCTGGCAATCCTCTGTCGGGAGCTGGACCGGTACCACCTTCATCTCTGTGATATTCAGGAGGTCCGGTGGACCGGCTTTAGCTCGTGCTGCCATGACGGGTGGACAGTTCTCTGCTCGGGGCAGGAGACTGCCAAACAACAGGGAGTGGCTCTTCTGAATAAAATAATTAAGGGGGTGTGGGAGCGTGGCGGTGAGGTGTTGGAAGCTGTAAGCCCCAGGCTACTTTGGGCTCACCTTCCCATCAACCAGAGGCAAGGAGTGGTGGTTGTGGTTACTTATGCCTCCACCAAAGACGAACATCCGTGGAGGGATGCAGGCAAGGCTGATGAGTCAGATGCCTTCTATGACCTCCTGTCACAGGTGCTAGCTAAAGTGGACCCTCGGGATAGAGTCATCCTGTTGGGTGACTTCAATGCGTGTGTGGTCATGCTGCAATGCGTGTGTGGTTATGCTGCTGGCCCCTGGTATGGAGTGATTCGAAGGCATGGGCCAGATCAGCTCAATAACAACGGCAGGAGACTGATAGATTTGTGTGCAGCCCATGGGCTTGTAATTACCAACATGCTATTCCGGCATCGGCGCATCCGCACAACATCATAGATGAATGCTGGGTCCAAGCAAGAACATCTGATGGACTACATAGTGACGGAACAGCGGATGCGGGCCCATGTCCCTGACATAAGGACCTACCGTGAAGCTGATCTGCCCCCTGACCATCGACTTGTCATCTGTATGATGCGCCTGCCATTCTTCCACTCCGGGGGTGGGTGTAAACCCATGACCCCATTCAAACCCTTAGTGGCATGGTCTTCGGTAGCTGATGAAAGTTGCAAGCAAGAATTTCATCATCGCTTGCGGCTGGGGT